GGGCGGGCGGCACGGCCCGCGCCTGCGGCACCTTGGGCTCCGCCGTCAGCTGCTTCACGGGCAGCGGGGGCGCGCCCGTCTCCACGCCGCTCGGCGCCAGCCTGTAGTGATCTGCAACGAGAAAGGCCGCTCGTCAACTTCGTCCACTCGGCTTACTCACGAGCACAGATGGGAAATGCAATCACATTTCAGTCTTAAAACAAGTTTATTAAAAACATAACACATTTTCGAGAGGATCACAAGTGCACTTCGCTTCTCTTACTTTATCTGAATTTTTTTTGACAAACTATGTGCCGAAACTGAACATAATTAAACAGACAATCTTTCAGTTTAATCTTTCAACACTTAATTAGTAAAGCCGATATTTTCGTGAAGGTAAGAAATTACCACTATCTATTTTTGAATTATTTGCTGGTTGACAGTTAATGTCACGAATCCACTGAGATTAGTTTTAAGTTCTAATGGTACAATTAAAAATGCCCTAATGATACGTAAAAGTTACCTAAAAATATATATTCTACTCCAACTGATCAAATTATATCCGACTCGCAGCAATAGTTAAAAAAAGAGATATTTTCGAGAAAAACGCAAGACAGTAACAACAAATCTACAGTAAATTTAATGTCTTACTAATCCAGCCGTTGGCTCAACCAACAAATACGGAAACTCTAGGTGTAACGGAAACCTCACGTTAACTAATGTTTTAAGACCTCCGCGTCACTGCACAGACGTTATGGCCCTCAGGGTACGACTTAAAGAATAAAAGAAAGGAGGAAAACCAATTTAATACTACTTACAATCCGATTTCAAGAGTATAGTTCTAACTCTAAAATCACAACTTTCGTTGTATATCAAATGCGAAGTATAAGAAGTAACTGAGGTCTACCGACCTGAACGATTTTTTTACTGGTGACGAGTACTTTCGGGAAAGAAAAATTCAATAGGTCGTAGAAACGAATGACCATCGTGTCGCCAGATGGCATCGAATATGGGAGATAAAATTAGTTGGTAACGCTGGGAGACCACAACGTGGTTTCAAATAAATTTCCATCAATGCTTTCAAGTCGCAGATTGGCCGTTCGGCCCGTTTCCAGGGCTCGAACATTAGAAACGACAAACTAGACAGAACAGACCACTTCCAGAGCTCACGGTAATTATATCCCAGCTCTTTGTGGCACGGCTTACAAGAGAAAATGCGAGTCTCGGATCAAAGAAGGTATAAATATAGTCTACAAACTTTAATATGTGTACCATTATTAATTATTATTATCAATTATTATTAATTATTATCAATTATTATTAATTATTATCATTATTATTAATTATTATTATTATTAATTATTATTATTAATTATTATTATTAATAATTATTATTATTAATTATTATTTCTTCCAATCGTTTATATTGATATATTCAGATAAGGCATTTCCTTCGACGGTCGACTGTTCACAGTGGATGTGGCCCGCTTTGCAGGATTCGCGGTGAATTAGAACAAAACCTCATGTATACGCGTGCGACTTTCAATTTTGAAAACATATTCACTTACAAAACTGAAAAAGATAAGATACGATACCAATTAAAATAGTGATAAATCTATTCTCATTAAAATAAAAACCATGGTCATGCCCTGGCCGCACCCCCGTCTCCTCGGGCCCGCGTGCGCGTGCGGGTGCGGGTGCGAGGCGAACGGCCTGCCCGCGCGGAGACACCGGCGACAGAGGCGGCAACCGCCGCGGGCGAAACACGCGCGCACGAGCGCCCCGCGACCGCGTGACCTTATTGCCGCGCACGCCCACGCGCAATTGGAGCCGCTGCCAACGACCGGCCGACGCGACATACCCCGCCCGCCCGTCTGTTGGCCAGCCCGCGCCCTACGGGGCCGTCCGTACATTATGTAACACGAACTTGAAGTATTTTAATACCCCCTCTCCCCCCTGCAAACGCACCTCAGCGTGCGCTTGTACCCTTTAAATGACAACGAACCCATTGCGACAATACCCTACCCAATAACAAGTAAAAATGGATAATCACAGTAAAAACAATTAGTATTAATCTTAAATCTCTTATACATTTGAAATTTATGAAGTTAGAATAGTAGTCCGTGCTGACTGCACCTAACAATAAGATTGGGAGCGAATTTGGAGAGAAGGAAGGACGCATAGACGTAAACATTTTTAACAACACGCCGAGCACACGCCGTCGTGGATGATGCTTGGGCGAGAGTCTACTGCGTCAATTGAATTGGATTCCAAAATGTACCACACATCAGTTTTCAATATTTTCTTCGTAATCTAACAAAATTATCATGAATGATGATGAAATACCATTAATGAAAAAAAATCCATTTGTTGAAGCAATTTATGCAAGACAACATTTAAAATTACAATATTTTTAATTTAATTTGTTAATTTTTTAAATAATTTAGTATAAGATGGAATAATAGTAGCATAAAAGCATTTCAGCACATGTTAAAAAGTATTTAAAAAAATCATTACGTAACACTAAAGTAGTATACCTACTATGTAACGCAGCATAACATTGTCTCAAAACCCCTCGCCCCCCTCTTTAGCGTTACGTAATTAATGAACAATCCTTAATCACAGTCTGGGGGGTGGAGCTTTCGCTATACCGTATTTTTTCGTTCTTAAGTGAAAATTTTTTCAGGCGTATACTAATTTATTGAAATACTACATACTTTCCTCGTATATCATCATCATCATCATCATCATCATCATGGTATGAGGGTGATATTTTTAATTTGATTATTTGTTCAGACTGAGAAAGTGAATTATCATCAAAGCAAGGTACAAGAAGTGTCGATCACTTTGTGCTTTTCTTCAACAGAACCAAAGATCCAGAACTCCGAACCAACAAGTAATCCTGTTTGTACTATTTAAAAAGCGCAGTATTTAGGCAAACTTAAGAATCACTCATGTGATGAACCAATTAACTCTCGCTAATAAAAACGAGTCAACTGTAGTGCACCCATCGACATGTGGGTACATTGGTATACATTGTGTGAAGGAATGGACGTTTTATCTCAAGACCCTAATAAAGACTAATGTCACAGGAAAACTCTACACATCTTTATCCAGTATGATTATGAAGAAATTTCTAATTCAATTCTATAATTTAGAGAACAGGCCATATAAAGTCTTTATACTTTCTTAGGAGAGACAGCTCTCACATTTAGATTCCTCAACAACTATGCCCATTAATAACTCAAGAAAACATTTCCATGACTGGAGTAGTACCAGCATAAGGAAATGACAACTTCACATGGCCTAAGAGAAAAATCACTATTTCTTGCGCAAAGTTACCGATGTTTTCACGAATTTACATAGGCCCTTCCGACCCCGAAGAAAGTGACTAATCTAACGAAACCATTTCAATGAAAACACGACTTGAAATTGCAATCTGTTTTGAGAAGCTGAATAAGCGTACAATAAAAACCAAAAGTGTGAAAAAAAATTCAGTAGCCCTATACCCTTGGCGTCTTGCACAGGCCGCTTTCCGCTCGCACTAATCCGACCGTGAACAGCACCTGTCTGCCGCCCGCGAGCACGAGATACGCCAGGCAGTGTGAAAGTCAAGACAACGCAATTAAGCTGAGTTATATCTCTACGCAGAATCGCCGTTGCCCCCTTCTCAAGTGCCGCAAGATTTCTGGAGAGTAGCGAGCTTTCTTACGTTGTGAAAGGTGAATTCTCGGGTAATGTACCATGTAGAATAAATATCATTTTGCCATCTACTAGAAGTTCGATACGTTTCTTGCGTAACTCATGCATTAAAACATAAATAAAAGGCAGAAAATCTCTATTCAATGATCTCACTGTTTAAGCAACGGAAACTGAAAGACTATTTTTTGGACTTGCGCCGATATAATTTTCATAAGAGCGAA